TGGTTTGGGAATGATGGGAGGGAGGCCGGAGGCTAAGGTGAGTCCTCAGCCCTGACCTGTAACTACTGACACCTATTCACAACAACAACAAGTAACTGACACCCACTATGTGCTTTCCAAACGCCACCAGTTGGTTTAGGTACCCTCCCTGCATTATCTCCTTTCATCTTAGAGCAACCCCATGAGGGAGGATCAATTCATTACTGATCCCATTGTACAGCTGAGAAACGGAGGCTTAGAGAAGGTAAGTTACTTGCCCAAGATCACATAGCTAAGTAAAGGAAAGAACCCGGACACAAGCTCTGACAACTGGGCTCTAAAAGCCCCAAATGTTAACCCCCAAGCTGTACCACCTCTCATACTATAACTATCGCATGTATTGTGTCTGCCGAGGCAGCAGAAGGGTGATGGTCTGCAAAAGGATGGACAGGGAGTCAGGCCATCAGGATCTGCTGGCTTTTGTGCAGTGCTATCCAAGGCCAAAGACCACGTGTCTGGCAGATAGTAGTTTCTGGAGTAGATATATTTCCTGGGACCAGGAGAGCTAGGCCAGTTTCCCTGGAGACCATCAAATGCTAACCTGTCTTTCCCTCTGTCCCTCATCTTATAATGATGGAGGGCTTGCTGGGTTTCCCACACTGTGCTTGTTCCTGGAGATACAATGGTCTTGGGTAGACCAAGCAGGGAAACAAAAAACCTACAGCTTGCCCGGCTGGCCTGGCTCAGTGGTTGAGCGTAGACCTATGAACAAGGAGGTCACAGTTTGATTCCCAGTCAGGGCACATGCCTGGGTTGTGGGCTCCATCCCCAGTGTGGGGCGTGCAGAAGGCAGCCGATCCATGATTCTCTCTCTCTGTCTCTCCCTCTCCTTTCATCTCTGAAATCAATAAAAATATATATTTAAAAAAGCACACACACACACACATCCCTATAGCTCAACATCTATACAAGAGTGGTAATGGGTGCTCAGAGGAGAAAGATGGTGACCAACCCTACACGCCAGTCAAAACCCAGGAAGGCTGCTTGAGCTAAACATGAGAGAAGTATGTCTCCACATTTTCTTGTGACAGATATAGGGTTTCACTTTTCACATTATTATTTTTTTAACGCACTGGGAATTAATTTTGGTATAAGGTGTGAGGTTGCCCTAACTGGTTTGGCTCAGTGGATAGAGCGTCGGCCTGCGGACTCAAGGGTCCCAGGTTAGATTCTGATCAAGGGCATGTACCTTGGTTGCGGGCACATCCTCAGTGGGGAGTGTGCAGGAGGCAGCTGATTGATGTTTCGCTCTCATCGATGTTTTTAACTCTCTATCCCTCTCCTTTCCTCTCTGTAAAAAATCAATAAAATATATATAAAAAAAAAAAAAAGTGTGAGGTTGAATTCTAACTTAATTTACTGTTTCAAATGGTAAGCTAGTTGCAAATGGTTTTTAAGCGATTCATCTTTCCTCACTTACCTGCGATGCCATATCTGTCATCTGATAAAGCGGTGTATGTTTGATCTATTTTTTCACTTTTTATTCTGTTCCATTGATCTTGGGAGGAAGGGACTACACTGTGGTGGAAACTTCGCAGGCTCTGAAGTCGGGTTCCTTGGGCTGTGCCTCAGTCCCTCATTTATGAAATGCAGATAATCCTAACGCCTACTTCATGCCACGGCTGTGGAGATGGAAGGAGATAATGCACCCGAAGTGCTCATTCCAGTGCCTGGCACAGAGCATCCATCAGTGACCACCAGCTGCTGCGATGATCCCTATCTGCCTGTCCCTGGGCCATAACCCAGGAGGGTGAATTATAAGCACGTAGCTGTGAGCTGATGAAACACCCTGCTGCTTACTGTGCACATGACCTCAGGCAGGTTATTTACCTTTTACGGTCTCTCTGTTCTGGTTCCCTCACTCAGAATGGGGACATGAAAGTATCTACGGCAGCGCGTTGTGAACGTTAAGCCTGACCCCTCGATGAATGCTTACTCTTCCGCTGAGTATTATTACAACGTTATAATTTATTATCTGTCTTTATGTGTTGTAGCCCCTTCTCATTGTGTTTCCCCCCAAAATTTTATGGGGGGCGTGGCAAACATTCACAGCCAGGTCTACTGTGGGTGAATAAAATAGAATTTCTGGATCTGCAAAGTTGATGCCTAGCCCTTGACCTGCGCTGAAAGTCATTGTGACCAGTGAGGTCTTGAGTGAGGAAGGAGTAGGATTTGGGGTGGGGGCGGCACGGAATGGGGAAGGGGCTGGAGTGGGGTGCGGTTGAAATTCATATAGCAGGTTTAAAAAATGTTTTTATTCTGTCGTCATGCTTAATTTAACAAAAAACGTGCATAGTTTAAGAAGCCAACAAGTTCTACAAGGCATTTAATGAAAAATGACATCCCTGCCCACTCTCCCACCCGTCCACACTCCGCCATAAGCCACTCGCAGGTCTACTGGCTGCTCCATGTGGCACTTGCCTCTCTATTTCTAAATAACATGCTTCTATTATTATTTCTTTTTTATATTTTAATGTAATCAATATACTGTCTGCAATGGAAGATGAGCATATAGTTCTCTCTAATCCTGACTCTCCTAATGTTCCCTCTCAATTAAAATATATTCCAAATTTTAGTTAAGCCAGTTCTCAGTGTTTACAGTATTGAGCTGTGAAGATATTCTTCACAGCTGAGTTATGTAGTGTTTGTACTAAACCTGCTTTTATTCATTGATACAAAGGACAAGGGGCTGAGAGACTTCCTTCTCTAAAATCGTAGTCACAAGCTTCGCCGCTTGGATCAGTGAGAATGGAACGTCCCACTTTTGCCTGGAGGTCTGAGCCACGTGGAATACTTTGACATAAAGAAGCAGCCTTGACAGCGGCAGAGAAGATAGGAACTTACAGCCCATTTCTCACTGGAGAGGAAAACATGTCACCTGGCTTTGCGGAGAAGGTTCCACCTTATGCTCATAGTACATTATCTTTACCATGTGCTAGAATATCACTTAAAAGGACAAACAATGTAAAATACTTGAATGAGCTTGTATTATAACATTAATATTATTGAGAGTATCTGCTTTCCAGGCTGAAGTGATTCATTATTCTAGTCTGCTTTAGTCCTTTGTAATTTGTGGTAATTATGCTTTTCTTTTTAATACAAAAAAAACGTATAAAAATAAAAACTTGAAAAGGCAAAAAAAAAAAAAAAAAAAAAAAAAAGAAGCAGCCTTGAATTCCAACCTAGATGCAAAGCTTCAAGTAATGGGGTTTTAGACACAACAGATGTATCTTAATTAAGCAGTTATCTATTACATAATTATCTAAAATTAATTATCTTAATTTTGTAGTTTCCAAGTGGACCCTCAGCCCAGGCTTGCCGTTGATTCCCTCAGTTATAGCTGTGCTTACCTTGAACCTATCAAAATGCTGCCTTGCTTACATATTACTTAAGCTCCACCTTTACCATATCCTGTGTAATGACCCTGTTTTTTCTTTTTTTTTTTTAAATATATTTTATTGATTTTTTTACAGAGAGGAAGGGAGAGAGATAGAGAGTTAGAAACATCGATGAGAGAGAAACATCGATCAGCCGCCTCCTGCACATCCCCTACTGGGGATATGCCCGCAACCCAGGTACATGCCCTTGACCAGAATCGAACCTGGGACCCTTCAATCCGCAGGCCAACACTCTATCCACTGAGCCAAACCGGTTTCGGCTTCTTTTTTTTTTTTTTTAAATATATTTTATTGATTTTTCACAGAGAGGAAGGGAGAGAGATAGAAAGTTAGAAACATCGATGAGAGAAACATCGATCAGCTGCCTCCTGCACATCTCCCACTGGGGATGTGCCCGCAACCCAGGTACATGCCCTTGACCGGAATTGAACCTGGGACCCTTCAGTCCGCAGGCCGACGCTCTATCCACTGAGCCAAACCGGTTTCGGCGACCCTGTTTTTTCTTTTGATGTGTCAGTCCACATAGTTCTTCTGGTGTGTGTTCTTTCTTGCAGCAGCAATAGACCTAACTCTGTCCAACACACAGTTCTGTTCCTACTGCTTTTTATCAAGAAGGCCTTGTATCAATTCTCTTTCCTTCCTTTTATAGCTCTTTATTTTCCCTAAAGTTGATAATTGCCTGACCTTTTCTATTACTTGGTTTTCCATATCCCTATTAGGAATGCATCCCCCATACTCTCTGAAAGATGTATACACCCTCTCCCATAATTCCTCTGTCCCACACTTTTTCCTCTTAAAGACGCCTTCCTGGACCCATCTTCCCCTGGCTCCAAGCTATACTGGTTTCTCCCCTGCGTTTCTTTTTAAAAATATGACAACCTTGCCCTGGCCTGGTAGCTCAGTTGGTTAGAGCATGGTCCCCATATGCCAAGGTTGTGGGTTCATCTCTGATCAGGACACATGCAGGAAGCAACCACTGAATGCATAAATAAGTGGAACGAAAAAAATTGATCTCTCTCTCTCTCTCTCTCTCTCTCTCTCTCTCTCTCTCTCTCATCTCTCTAAAAAAAGGACAACCTTTGTTCTAACACCTATCTCAAAGCATCATGATTACTTGTCAATGCATCCGTTTTTCCTGACTCTTGCCTGCCCCTTCCACCCCAGGAGGGGCCGTATGTCTTGATTTCTCTATTTCTCCAAAGTTTATCATGGCGCTCAAGAAACGTTCGAATGAACGAACGAACGAATGGAATTTGTATGTATAGGTGAAGCTCATGAATGATATTGCAAGGTTTAAGGGTGGCCTCAGGCTTTCTTTCTTTTTTCCTTTTTATTGAATTTATTGGGGTGACACTGGTTAATAAAATTATACAGATTTCAGGCGTACAATGGCCTTAGGCTTTCTGCAAGGCCCTCGCCAGCTAGGAGCGGGGCCCTGAGGGAGAGAAGCAGCACTGAAGCCCTCGGGACCCAAGCTGCAGTCTCCGGAGCAGCCAGCTTTAACTCAGAGGCCGGAAGGACACCGGCCACGAGCCTTCCAGGCGCCGCCACGAGGACTACAACTCCCAGAAGGAAGCGCAAAGGCGGAGCGCGATCGGGGGCGGGGCTCCGCACGCTGACGTCAGACCCGCATGGAACCGGGAAGAGCCCGGCAGAAAGGTACGTGTAGGTTGCGGGCTGAATGGAGAGGGCGAGGAGGGTGAGAGCGAGGGCGGAGCGGCCCTCGGGGACGTGAGATGGAGGGGCCTGCTGAGGGAGAAGGACAGATGGGTCTCAGATGAAGCGGGGGTCGCGAGGTGGAACGATGTCGAGCTCTGCTTGCTCTTCCCGCAGCGACCATGACGAAGTTAGCACAGTGGCTTTGGGCACTGGCGCTCTTGGGCTCCGCCTGGGCGGCCCTGACCTTGGGGGCCCTGGATTTGCCTTCTTCCTGCCGGGAGGTCCTGTGGCCACTGCCCGCCTACTTGCTGGTGTCCGCCGGCTGCTATGCCCTGGCCACTGTGGGCTATCGCGTGGCCACTTTTCACGACTGCGAGGACGCCGCCCGCGAGCTGCAGAGCCAGATCCAAGAGGCCAGAGCCGACCTGTCCCGCAGGGGGATGCGCTTCTGACACTCCAACCCCTTTTACACCCGACAGCCGCTCCCTCCCACCCCCCATTAAAGAGAAGCTCACTTTCTAACTGTTTAGTATGGAGGATGGGGACTGGGGGTTATGTGTGTACCAAGTGGGAGGCAGACAAGCCACCTTACTGAGGTCAGCCAAGCGTTTACCTTTGCATTCTGCCGGTGTCCCTCCCTTTTGCTCCAAAGGAGGCAGAGACCCCTTCTCAAGGCCCCAGGACGGAAATGTTTCACTTTTCCCGGCCTTTTAACCCCGTCAGGAAGTGCTTCTTGAAGTCTAACCTACATTCTTCTTCATAACATCCACGCTCCGTCCTTTTTAAGGCCTTCCTAGTGTTTTCTAGGTTGCTCTGGTTCTTTTATTTATTTTTACCTTTCCCCTCACACATGCTCTGCTTCTTTTAGTTCCCTTTTCTGAGCTAAGCCTCCCAGCCCAGGAATAACTCAGCCAGACAGTGCTCCTCTACCCTTCACCAAACCCGGCAGGCTGAGAATCACCGCATAGAGAATGAGCCTTGAGGGACAGGGAAAGGGCACAGTTTATTTTAAGGCACACTCTAAAGATTTCACCCCAACCCCAAAATTAAAAAATATAATCTCTAAAAAATAAGTGCTTCATCTCCCAGGTCCCACCCACTCTTCTAAGTCAAGCTCTTTCTTTGGTCCCCAGATTCTCAAAGTTGTCTCTTTTCCCATAACCCCTGGCACCGTGCAGCTGGTCAGCAGGAACGGTTGAAACAGGTTGGTTTGAACCTCTTTGGCAACAGGTGTCCTGTGGTCAGGTGAGCTGCCTCAGGTCTGTAGGAGCTGGTAGTTCCTGTCTTGCTCCTGTGGGTACTTCCAGAAAAGCCAGAGGCGAATGCCGCTAGTGAGGATTCCTGGGACGTTGGGCACCTGAAATCGCAGGGGCTGCCATGAGGAGAGGAGTTGATTTCCCACGGTGCACACCTGCCACCCCCTCCCTGCGCTGCTTACCATGATGTAGGGATCGCTGAGTCGAAACCCATAGAGGGTCCAGGAGGCAGAGGTGAGGAGGGTGGCAATGGTCAGTGAGAAAGAGAGACGTTGGGTTGATTTGGTCTGAATAACTCTGGCCTGTGGGGAAGGATGAAAGACACTCCTCGTCCAGATACACAGTAAAGCTCCCACCGGGCCTGGTAAATTCCTCAGAACAGAGGGCAAATAGCCTCCCCGGCCTTCTGCTGCCCGACCTTCCCCTCCTGCCTCCCACTCACCCGCCTCGATTGCCCTGTCTCCTCCAGGCCTGGAATCTTCCTTTCCCTCTGGAGGGTAAGCTACAGCCTCTGCTATGGGGGCCTGACCCTTCTTATCTCCCCCACCTCCATGGACACGCCCACTCCCACTCACCAAGTCGGTCAGTGGTGAGAGGTACATGCTGATGGTGAAGACGCTGCAGAAGAGGCCCAGCTGCTGAAGCCTGGCCTCGATGTTGGGCACCAGGAGCCAAAAGTAACCAAAACCCAAGAGCAGGACCCCCAGCAGGGCTGCTGTCTGCAGGAGCTCAGCACCCTGCAGGGGAGAGAACAGCCTGGCTTCCACGTGTGCCAGGAGCCTCCTGACGCCCCCACCGGAATGAATTCCTCCTGCCTCTCCCTGCTCCAGTCGGGGAGCCAGCCCTGGTCTGGGCCTCCAGGGTTGCACTTGTCACGGCCTTTTCCCCACCAGTGGCCTGAGCCACCCACCACACTGGAGATCTCTAGGGGAGGGAAAGGTCTTTTCTGTGCGTTTGGTATACACGAGAGGAGCTTAATACATGCTTGTGTGACTGAATGGGGAAGCAGCTCATCATCTCACTCTCAGCCACCGGCCCTGGTTCTGAAGGAGCTAAGGGAGACAAAAGCCCTTTCCCTCAGTGTGTTGAGCAGCAAGGCACCATCCGGGCAGGCAGAGCTACCAGCCTTGCCCGAATACGGGGCGATTGTGAGTCTCGGGAGGCCGGCTCCATGGAGGAAGGAGGGCTGCATGGGTGTGTGTGTGTGCGGGGGGAGGCCTTCTAGGAAAAGGTGGCAGTGCCAGCTTGTTAAGTCTTCCAGGAAGCACTGTCCTGCCAGCGCGGCAGGGCAGCCCAGGGAGGGGGTGCAGGGCGGGCCTCTACCTTCCGAGGGCAGTAGTGCAGGTACACCAAGATATACAGGGTCTGCAGCACAGCGCCCACGGCGTTGACCACGATCAGGGTGCCATCTCCCTTCAGGGTCCCGTAGCCCAGCCAGCTCAGGTTGCTGCAGGAGGGAGGGAGGGACATTCGCCGAGGGGTTGACTGTGGGCTCTTCCAGGGCGCGCCCCCCCAGACAGTCTTTCCCGCCGCAGCCGTCACCCCTCTCACTTGACATCCGTAGTGAGAAAGGGCAGGAACTGGACACTGTCCACTCTCCGGGTCATCCACATGTGCCTGAGGTCCGAGCTGTAACGGTGCCCCGAAGGCAGGTGTGAGGGGAAGGCAGAGCCCCAGGGCCTGCATCCTCCCCCGACCACGGCGGACCCCGCTTCCGCCCTCCGCTCCCTGGCCTTGGAGTCAATGACCTGCCTCGCCCGGGTACCCCCGCCCCTCGACCCGATGCCACGGGGACCCCGGGTTCCGGACGCAGCCCGGGGCTGAGCCACGGCTCCGGCCCCCCTCGCTCCTTCCCCGGGTCCTGGTCCTGCCCTGCCCGGCCCGGCCGCGCGCTCACAGGCCCGTGGAGAACATGCCGAGGGTGAAGACCACGCACACCCCGGAGAGCAGCGCGTCCGCGGCGCCCGCCTCCATCCCTCGCCGACCCGCTCCGGAGCGCGGAGGGCAGGCCTCTGGGCGCCGGGCTCCGACGTGGGGCCCGCCCCTGCGCGTCCCCCGGAAACTGAGCCGGAACCCGGCCTCCGACGCGGGGCGGGAACTCAGGCCCCGCCCCCTGGCCGCCCGCCCGCGAGGTTCCCGGTGCTGACGTCGCCCTCCGGGTCTCGGTCGGCCCGCGGCTCCGCGCACTGGCCCCGGCCCCGGCGCTCCCCACCCTCCGCGCACCCCTTGGTCACCCGGACCCCAGCCTCCGCTCTCCCGCGGGCCCGCGTGGTGACCTCAGAAGCTGGCTGGACCCAACCGGACCAGCCCGCTCCCACCCAGAGCTCCAGATCGGAACCTCGGCGGCCCCGGGCTTGGGCGGCTTCCCGTTTGCTGGAGCCTCTTCCCAGTCTCCGCCCTAAACGACAGGGGTTGCGGGGATCGCCGGTTCTGGCAGGTGCCCTCTCCCTCGGCCACACCACCAACCTGGCGGGTCCACTGGAACCCGTATCATGTTGACCCCCCCCCCCCTCCGAGTCCGACCCTGACCTGCAGCTGGGGGACCCCCCCTCCCCTAGGTTCCCACAGGTCTCCGTCCCGAGGCTGCCCGGACTCACCCGCTGCAGGAGGACCTGCCCGGCGTGCACAGCCCACAGCCCGGGCTGCAAGGTGGGGGTGGGCAGAGGTCTGCCAGGAGGAACTCCAGAGCGGGGCCAGCCTGGAACCCGAGAGGCGGTGTGGGGAATCCCCGTCCCCCACAACCCTGAGGAGGAGTACCCCACTTTGGTGAGGGGTATGTACTCTTTCTAGAGAGGGAAGCAAATTCAAACCCATCGCTACTGGTATCTCCACAGCAGGGACTCGAGGGCTATACCAGTTAGTATGGAGGGCCAGAAAAGCAAGTCCAAAAAGACTGACACATCTTTATTTTGACACAAATATAAAAAAATTCCAGTACAAACAACATATTTATATACAAATTCTGTACATCTGGGCCCTGCCCTCACAGCTACACTCCAGGAAGAGGTGGGCACAGCCCCCTGCTGGCACCACTTTGGGGGTGCTGCCCCAGGGTAGAGGGTGCAGGGCTGGCTGCAGATCTCTCCGCAGCAGCTCCGCACATGGCAGAGGCTGGGGCCGCCCAAGAGTTCTGCCTCTCCGTCCGGGCTCCCGGCCGGGAAGCTCCTGCTTTTCCTTCAGTCCATCCTGGCACCCTGGCTCTTTGTGGAAGGGGCATCTTTGCCAAGTTCAGTGTCCTCCCACATGACCCCAGATCCCTTCCAGTTCAGCTCCCACCGCGCGCGCGCGCTTCTTAAGCGTCCATAGTTTTGTGTTTTGGTTTAAGGGCCGGAATGGCAGGGGAAGAACTGTCCGGCTTTGCCCGTCCTTCTGAGGTGGAGGCAGGGATGGCAATACCAGGCTTGCCGACCTCCCGTGGGTTGAAACCCTTAATACTGACCCGTTCTGAGGCTGCTGGGTGGCAGCTTGTGCATGTGGCGGGAGTGGTTCCCAGCACTGGGGCTTGGGGAGGTGCCCCAGGATCGAGGAGGGGTGCCTGCCCCGGCCTTCTCGGCCCTGTTCCAGTCCTTAGGCGAGATGTGGCATCCGACGTCACAGGGTTTGCAGCAGCAGGAATGGCAGGAGCAGCACAGCCCAGGCAAACGGGAAGAGGCGGGGGGCAGCGCTGTGACCGATGCTGTGTAGAACCTGCACCTCTGGGTCATCTGCGAGCGGGGAGGGCAGAGGCCCTCAGGTGAGCAGTCCCACTTTCTGGCACCAGCCCTCGGCCCAGCAAGGTTTCCCCCAGTTCCCGCCTAGCAAAGGAGCTACCTCCTGCCCCCAACCTCCTCAAGCCGACCCCCTTGTTCGCCCCAGCCACCTACCGGCTGCAATTCTCTTTTCCTGTGGGTTGTCATGGGCCTGAGGACTGTGAGCTAGAACACAGAGGTGGCCACAGATCAGGTACTGCACCAGGGAGATAGGGGTGGGCGTGCTGGGCGGGCCGGGCAGTGAACTCCCACCACCCCAGGTCATCAGGGCCAGAACGGGGATGGAGGAAGGAGGTTCACAGGGCCTTGACACTCACTGGTTTTGCCATCCACAGTCACCTTCAACCTCAAGCACCGGTCTTCTGCGTGGTGGATGGGTTTGGCTGCAAGATAAACCCACACAGGATTAAGGAAGGGGAGGGAAGGAAACAAGTGCAAATGCCTCTCTGGCCCTCCTTTCTCAGTCCCTGCTCATTTGAATCCCTCTCCTCCCTCTAAGCTTCGATTCTTACCTTCCTTAGGTTTTGCCCACTTTTTGCCCCATGTTCTGCCCAGCCTCCTTTCTTTGGAATAACCCTTGACTTTGGAGGTGGCGGTGAAAAGAACATGGCCACTGTCCTCTCCTCACAGTCCATCCATCCTTCACTCCTCCCAGCTGGAAGCCGGGCAAGGCCTGCACGGTATATTCCCCTTACACGGGCATTTTGTACGCCCCCGGCCTAGGCACCACTGGAAGAGTGAGGCCTGCATGCATTCTACACAAAGCTGACCTTACCACTCTTAAAATCTCCCAGTGCCCTCAGGATAAACTCCTTAGCTCTCCTTAGGTCCCCGTGATTGGCCCTGTCCATCTCGCCAAGCTCGTATTTCCCCTCTTGAAAGTGTTCCTCCTACTCCAGCCACACGGAGTTCCCTGAAGATGTCATGTTCTCTTTGCACGTGTCCCCTCATGTATGGCCAAGTCCTCTGCTTGTCCAAAGCTCTGGGAAACCAGGAGGCCTTCTCTGAGCCCCCCTGACCTGGAAGTACCCAGGTCATCCCTCCAGGGCCCCCGTGTCCATGTCTCCCGTAGCATACTGCTCTAACGGCCTGTTACCCTGTGTCTCTTCCCAGCTTTGAGGACAGGGACCCTGTAGTGTTTAATTTATCTTTGTGACCAGAGTGCCAAGCTCAGTAGAAGCTCACTCCACATTTGTAATGTGAATGAACAAAAACAGAATCCAGGATTGGAGAGGCCCTCTGCGGCTTGACTCCCCACCAAGCAGGTCCCCGGGCATCTGCATCACGCCAGCTGCGTCCCCCGGTACGTGCACCTTCATGCATGCCTCCCAGGCACTCACAGATGTAGTAGTAGCTGTGTCCCTCTTTGAACTCCTTGCCCAGGGTAAAGGGTGTGAAGCGCAGGAACTTCTCCGACAGTTTCTCTGGGCCATGCCTGGCACTGGGGTGGTTGCACTGCCAGCGGACCTGTTCCTTGGATTGGGGTTGGCACAGCTGGTACTGCTCGAGCTCCACCAGGTACAGTGTATACTGCTCCATGGCACTGGCTGCCACAGAGTCATCCTCATAATGGGGACAGATGATGTCCAGGTAGTCATTCAGCTGCACATGGACAGTGTAGTCCTCACTGCGGAACCTGGGCATGGGCGGAGGGGAAGGAAGCCAGCAGTCATTCAGGAGCCAGACCGGAGCCTGGAGTCTCCACATGTTCACACGACCCCCTCACTTTCACACTGGACCCCCACGCAGATGTTCTGACAATCTCAACTCCCAGTATTTACCAATCTCGATCTCTCAAGTATCTTTCCACCATTTCCAAACACCCCTCCACCATCCTTGTTTCCTATAACCCAATAAATAGCATCCACTTAGGGTCTTTTAGGCAACAAAGCACTTCCCATTCCCCCCTGATATTTACCCAAGGATGGGCTTCTAAATATTTCCATAGCTCACTCATCATTCTCTTCTACCCGTAAATATTTCCCCAAATTTATTCTTTTAAAAAATATATATTTTATTACAGAGAGGAGGGAGAAGGATAGAGAGTTAGAAACATCGATGAGAGAGAAACATCGATCAGCTGCCTCCTGCACACCCCCTATTGGGGATGTGCCCGCAACCAAAGTACATGCCCTTGACCGGAATCGAACCTGGGACCCTTGAGTCCTCAGGCTGACGCTCTATCCACGGAGCCAAACTAGTTAGGGCTCCCCAAATTTATTCTACCAGGTGTTCCTTTAAATGCTACTGGACTCAGTCTGAGACCCTACCGGCCCATTCCATCCTCAGGATCCAAGCAACCCTTCCTCTTTACCAGGCTACACAGGCCCCAACACCTTTATGTCTTCATTTCTCTTACTCCCTTCATTTCCCGCCCTCACCCATGGCATATATCTCACATTTCTCAGCTTCATGTCCCCCCAAAGCTCCCGTACACCCAGGCCCACAGATAATGCCTGAATCCTTGAAGTTAAATCACCTTCATCCATTCATTCATTCCCCTCAAATCTCTCCTTTTAGCTACTTAACATGATGCTCAGTCTCCTTGTCCACTTTTCCCAAGCACCCACAACACCACTGTCCCTCTTTCCGCAAAAGCCACACAACCAGCTGTGAGGTGAGCTCCAGAAACGCCGCGTTCTCGCATCTGAGGTTACCTCGCCTCCCAAGGTGGAGCCAGCTCCCCTCCCCCAGCCCATTCCCTACAGGCTCCGCAGGCTCCAGCCTGACTGCCCACCAGTCCCTCCCCCCAGCTCCAGACACCTGGCTCCAGGCTGGGTGGGGTCCTGTAAGGGGGAAAAGTGCCTCCTCACCTCCCTCTCCAAGCTGGTCAGCTTCTCCGAATTCCCCTGAGCACCGTCAGCTAGAGACTCAGCAGACTTGGCTGCCAACTTGCTACAAGCCGAAGCCCTGGGCACGGGCGGTGGGCGGAGTGCCGGGAATTAGGCCAAGGCCTTGGAAGTGGGCACCCACTGCCCAGTCAGCATGACCCCTAAGAGGCCTGGCCTTGCGGGTGGCGTGCCAGTTCTCAAGCTAGGCTGACCGGGGCCCCTCCCCCACCCTGGGGAGGAGAAGGAGAGTGAGAGAGGCAGGGAGAGAGAGAGAGAAGCAGAGAGAGGCTTTTAAAATTCCTCTCTGGAGAGATAAACATAGAAGCCATTTCAGAACAGGTATTTCAGCTCGGCCTGGCATCCTTCCCCCATTCCAGTGAAGGGCACTGACTCATTCCTCATCCACCTCTGCCACCCTCCCTGGCATTCACGGGAGTCCGTGAAAATTTACCTGGTCAAATGTGGACCCCAGGATGGCAC